TTCTGTGTGCTTGGCAGGCAAACTGGTGGCTTGATGCCCGTAAGTCTCTCAAAATCAGCCTGTCTGCCTCACCTACGCATTTCAAGTCAAAAATTCATAAGGTGACACAAAACTGTCAGAGCACGTTTGACGTGCCTCCAAAAATGATGACGCTATGGGCGTGCGTGTGTGCCCGCCTGGATATATATTTTTATATGTGGGAGGGTATGGGACAAACACACAGGAACACAAAATCTGCAAATCCACTCATATCTCACAAACACACACACAGTCGTGGAAGCAAACAACACCCACGAGCTCTCGGATTCATAGGTCAAACATTTACATTTTGCGTCTAGGCGCATACACAACAACCAAACATATGAGACCTTGCATGCATGCAAGCGTGCACGCGCACTCTGCGCGTGTTTCCAAGTTGATTTCGTGTCTTGAGCGACATCACAAGTTTTCAGCAAACAATCGTCATGATAAATCACAACAGGCCACAAAATAAAATAAAAAAATCTTTAAAAAGTCCGGTATAATTTTCTGGTGAGCCGGTTGTGCTCAGCAGAGGTTTCGGTGACTGATCGCTCTTCTAAACGGCACCACTATTACATTGCGACAGCGTTCCTGTCAGACTCCTGCCGTCCTCACTACGCACCACAGCAACATTAAAAGCTGTGACATGCTGGACATAAAACACCGCCGCGCATCTTTGCACTATAACTGCCTCATTCATGCTGCCACTTTGCATCCAAGAAAGAAAGAAAAATCCGCAGCAGCTCCTCGCCAGTGAAGTAATGCAATCTTTCACCTTCAACAAATTGAGCAATTCCTCCAAAAGCAGGAAAAAGAAAAGACCTTCAGATAGTCCATGTGCAACCTCAGCGTGCGTTTGGCTGCTTCCCCTCCAAAGCGCAAAAATGACAGAAACACAAACCCCGATCACCCCCCGCAGCACTGAGTGGTCCATGTGTGCTCTGGTTAGAGTGGAAGTCGGGAGAGAGGCATCGGCAAGAGGGGTACGAAGGGCGACAAGGAGAGGAAGGGTCGGAGAGGGAGAAGAAATGTCACCAACATTTCGGATGTAGGAGAAGACAAAAAAGAGAGAGAGAGGGAGAAAAGGTTCCGAGACGAGTTGAGAGATGACAATCAACCACGAAAAGTTTGGCTGTACTTACTGATCAAACCGTCCTCTGCATTCGTGCTGCATGGCATTTCTTTTTCTTTCTTTTTAAAAAAAAATGTAAATATAGATTTAGGATGTTGCAGCAGAAGATGTTTCCATTCCCGCCGGGACTGGTCACACAGCAACAGCAGCAGCAGCTGCAGCAACGGTTCCAAAAGCTCAGCTCTGCAGTTCCGTGCGCACACGAGAGCAGCGCTCAACATGAATGAGAGGAGAGCTGCAGTCAGACTCCGGCATCCCAAAGAGGAGAGAGAGAGACCGAGAGAGGGAGAGGGAGGGAGAGAGTCAGTGACAGGAGTGCGTCACCTGGCGGCGCAAATGCGTTACAGCGGGTGTCCAGGCGCACTACTCCATGGTCTGTGTAGGTGGCAGCATTGGACCCTTGTGTTCTTAATCTCATTTTGCACTGGCTGAACAGCAGTAATCAAAGGATATACTTTTTTAAAAATATATATATATATTTTTGAGGGACCCTCACGCACACTTTGATTGATTGCTCTGCTCATCTTGGCCTCATGCAGAGCAGCACTGCTCTGTTTTTATATCTCACTGCCCCATGTGATGTATACATGCGTGTGCACCCTTGTGTGGGAGATTTGGTATGTATTCATGAGTGCATGCGCTGTAGTCGAGCGCTCATGAATGCATATCGGAAGCTCGGCGTGCTGGGCGCTCGTGCGTGTGCGCGCGTGCACACTTGCTTCTGTCTAATCGATGCCGTTCAATGCTGAAGGTCAGCTCCCCTGAAACTTGACAAATCATCTCTATCGGCAGTGTCGGCCTTGTATGTTACTTCAAAGACCCCTGGCTGCTGTGGCTGATTTAAAGCAGATCTTCAAACAGCAATATAAATATAATATAATAATATAATAATATTTTTCTCCTTTTCAAATCACAAATTGCCTGAATACTTTAATACTCAAATTAAATAGTAATACAAAACAAACAATATAAAACTAATTGGCTACCTGAAGGTGAGTCTCCACAGACACAGCTTTAATTATGCGCGTCGTTGTTTGTAATATCTCAGACGATGATCATCAGGCTTTCGCAAATGATACATATGGGACACCATCATTATCCCCACCCCTCCACCACCACCGATTAAGCTCTCTCAAATGATGACAGTTGTTGCCAGGTGACCATTTGCATGGAAAGACATGTATTTCTTTTCTAACTGACAGTCACAAATCAAAGTCTTTGGGTTGTCTTGTCATGACTTGCGCTGCAGCCCTGAGAGATTTGGAGTCAGGAAGTTAATTTGCACCATAAAGGAGAAAGCATAGCCGCTCTGTGCTCCAAACATCATTTTTGTTTTATCTGCAAGAATTTTTTGCAGCATTTCTTCACCCCGGGCCCCCCTGCTCTGACCTTTGCGGTCCCCTTGTGCATATTAAATGGGATATTCCTGCCCATATTAGTGATGACTGGGGAGTTTTACAGGACGATGGATATCGGGTTCCCTCTCTCCACTCCGAGGACAAGGATGTGGTTACACAGATGATACTCTTCTGCTCCAGTTACCGCATATGTCCATGCCTATGTGCGTACATCCTTTCTGCTAACTCTTACGGTCTTACGCAGCTTGATGTGATACTAGTGTGATACAGAGTTCATGGCTCATCCTAAGAATACCTGAGTCATTCACATCTTGTCAAGCTGTTAGCCACATCATTTTTTCCTGCTCATATCGATCGACTGTTTCTAAATGTAAAATCAGTTTTAAAGCCTTGAGGTGAAGGTTACATTTTTAAAATTTATTTGTCATAGTTTAGTACCTCACTGTGTGACAAAACAACACAATCAACAGCATGAACCAGAGGGCACACTGTGGGTTTTTTCTTTTCTTTTTTTGTATTTATATGCTTTATACTACTGAATAAGAGTGACAGGTCATTAACATTCAAAATGATTTCATGCGTCACCTCCAACCTTCTTATGAATATGAAAAAGGTAGATTCACAGCAGGTAAAGATGCTGGTAAACAAATTATAGCCTTAGGAGTACAGTGAGTTACCACTGCATCTTTCATATAAATATGCATTTACCTTTCAAAGAATTATGTAATCCAATGACAAATACAACTTTAACACCGTTATAGCCTGCATTAACAAGAGTGCTGAGATGAAACCCAAGCAGAAAAGATGTAGTTGTACAGATAGTGCAGAGCAAAGCTCTTTTGCATTTTCTTTATTTTTAAGAGGTCTTGATCATTAGTTCTCAAGGCTTTCTGAAGGTCACTCAGAATGTTTCTTTGTTTTTTGACATACATAACCATTTTCACAGGAATGGTTTTTTTTTTTTGTTAAGCCACTGACATATGAACCATTCAAGCATAAAAACTGCACTCAGCTCAAAGGATGAACCAGTCTTGTGTCAACATACAACAAAAAGCTTAGCAAAGATCACTGAGGAAACTGGGCAAGTGGAGGACAAAGTATCTGAAACTCATGTTGTTAAGGAATAGGGAAAAAAGACCTGACACAGGACCTGAGATATGCACCTGGTTCTTTAATTGATCCATCTACTGTTTGACAAAGCCTCATGAGAAACGGTCTTAGTGGAAGGTTGGCTGATAGAAAACCATTCTCAAGATTGAGGAAAATGGAGAAAATCTTAAATTACAAAATCAGTGAAAGTAAGAAATCAGTGGTAAGAGGTCTTCTAGAGTGATGAATGAAAATTTGAACTTTCTATTTTATGTTATTTTTTGCCCCCAAATTGTCATGAGTATGTATTGAAGAGGTCAGGAGAGCCGTACAAAAGTAAATGTGTCTACAACCAAAGGTGAGTGTCAGATTTCAACCATTGTTGGGGATTTTGTCAAAATGAATGAAAATATGAATGCAAAGTTTGTTCCACCATTCAAAACCATCTGGAAAGAGTCTGACTGAAAACAGCTTCATTTTTCATCATTTCAATCATCCTAAACACACTGTCGGTGCAGTGAAAACATACTTGGATAGAAAGACAGATTGGAACCCTGTCAGTCATGCATTGGCCTCCCCAAAGCCCAAACCTCAACATTATTAATGTAAAGGTAGCCACCAGCTGGGATGCATATACTACATACTAGAAATGTTTATTTCTCTGTTGCTTTAGAGAGTGACACAAGTAACACTACATCTTTGAAAAGTGTACATATATAAATATCTTTTAAAACAGTTCCCTGTTATGTGACTGGGACGTATTCACTGAATATGTATTTTAAATATGACTGATGGCAATTCACAGTGTGTTTTTGTTTATATGGATTGTAGGTATTTAAATGCAGCTCTCTGTCTGTCAGAAAGAAGAACCTACCCAGCTAATGGATTCCTAATGGGAGCTGTTTGGTGTACGGATCAATCTGTTCTTATACCTGCTGTTTTTGTTTGTTTGAGCTTTTTTTCTTTCATCTTGGGCTCTTGCGTGATCCAGCATTACAACGTGTGCATTTTACCCCCAATTTTGACAAATGCCTGGGTTTTGCCATGTCATCACGATGCTTGATTTGCCTGGCAGTGTTGGGTGAAACAGCAGTTTCTCGGTTGAAAAACTGTCCAATGAGTGCCAGACTGTTAATTGGCCAATAACTGCCACGGGTGGGACTAACACAGATGTCACGCTGGGCAGCAAACCTGAGAAGGAGCAATAACAATGTGGACTCTACCAGCAAGTATTCTCATTACCAACCAATGTTGTACTTTATTTCTACTTTGTTCCGCTCCACTATCAAAAAACAAACCCTGTTGGTATGGCTGAGCATTAGTGTACTTTAGATTTATTTAGGGTTTTGTTCTTGGTACTTTTCCAATAATGACATTTCCTGGTGGCTTTCTTTATATAGATATTCTCTGGTCTTATATTTACATCTAGTTCTGTTCACGGTCACAGTTTGGTTTATATTCAACTCCTTGACTTCCTGTCTATCCCTTGCGTGTCTTTAATATTGTACTTATCACTTCTCCCATTGTTATCTTGATCCAAGTCTCCCCTTGTCTTTTGTCACGTTGGCCCTTGCAATTGTGTGACACCTTGTTTTGAGTTTCCCTGAAGATTTTTGGGCCATTTGGAAGATTATGTGGATTCCTGGTCTCCTGGCCCTACTGCTTCCTAATTCTTTCTGTCTTCCTAATTCGGCATTTGGGTTCACATGCTGCCTGCCACACGTTCAGTACATGACATAACCAATCTCCAAAGGAAAAACACCAACATCAAAGGCATCTCTACGAGTCGACTCTTCTGTTTCATGTCAAGAAATTAGGAGGGACTTATTTCACACAGACCCACACTTTTACTGTTAATATACAATTATATAAAAGGAATGAGCCCTGCCAGGAAGCCACCTTTAGTGTCCCACTGCTCAAGTTAAAATGTTGACTAAAATATAGTTGTTGTTGTTTTGGGGGGGATTTATTTATTCCTCACATTTTGCAGACGTCCTTATCGTTTGTTTGCTACCATAAATTCCTTCCTCTGGTTAAGATGTGGGGATTTTGCCATATATTTCAGCATAACTTTGATTCCAGCTTAATGCTGCTGACTACATAGTAGCTCACTATTTGTTTATCTCTAATTTATTTCCAACAGACTAGAAACAGAAAGCCCAGAGATCAGACGTGCAGTGCTTCACACAGCAAATGAAAGGCCTTTCATCTGCTGCCAGCAGTTGAATCATTGCATCAACTGACAATAGAAAAATAAGCAAAACTGACATCTCTGTAAAGATGTTTTGGTTTTTACATTTTTTATTTTTTTAGGGAAAATTCTGCGGGAAGCAAGGCGGCCCCGCTTTCAGCGTGGGGTCCCGGCTCGTGTGGCTTGTCAGCAAGTAGCTGAGGATGGCGCGTTTTTGACCAGCTCCGGAATCTCTCTCCTTCCCTCGTTTGCTCGAATCTCCCTCCATCTCTACCTCCTTCCAACAGAGCCTTGATCAACAACGTCCATTTTATCCCATAAACGCAGACTGATGCCAAATCATAATTAAAATCTCCTCTGAGAGCTGCCTGGAAAAAAAAAGAGAAGAAGAAGCTAATTAGGCGTTAAAATAAAAACTTTTCTCCATTTATTATTTTTTTTCTTGCTTTCAGACACAAATCAAATCAGCTATCTTAACTTTTGTGGTTAAGTCAAGGTCGCTGCGCATTTGAAATGAAGCAAATTATCCTTTTTTTTCTCCTTTCATTTTTTTGTCAGTTTGTTTTGTT